AGGAACGCAGCTGGTGTTAAATCTAGAAATTTGCTGTTTGTCTTCCTGTCGATGTAACTCAGCTGTAAGTCTGTCTGCTGCTACTGCTTTTCGGCACACAGCGACGTTTTCACGTTACCAAGACGGGTTTCGGTGAGGTTATCTTTCTGGTTTATGGACGAGGCGGGGTTAAGGAGGCCGCCTCCCCGGTGGGTCGTTCCCACCGGGGTTAGGTGGCAGACTTGATGCCTGCTTAAAAATGTCAAAAACGGCGATGTGTTTATACACAGCGGTGTATAAACAATAATTGCAGATTTAAAGCTTAAAAATTATAATTAAAACTAATAAGTTTGCCTAAGATGGTTCAGGCTGTTATGAAGAATAAAGGTGGTCATACAGAATATTGAATTTTAATCTTGTTAAAACTCTGCCTGATTTACTGTATTTCCACAAATGTTTGCACATCTTTAAATAAACTGCTGCCCCTTATTTTCAAATTTCCACGCAAAATATAAAGAAAACCGTAGGTGACACAAAGGTTTCACACAAGCGTGTCAATAACAACAAATACGGGGGCTGAGAAATATAGTCAGTCAAAAATTAAAGAACCCAAACAGAGTATAAATACAGCCGTTTTAATTTTAACATGTAAGTAAAGATTTCACCACTAGATGGAGCAATTTTATAGTTTTTCGTCACACTAGTTCATGCAGCGTTTTAAGGGTTTCGTGTTATGTTCAAAACTCAAAGTACACTTAGAATGACACTATCTTTGATGTGTTATAAATAATATCAATAAATAAGAATGAACAGCACTTCCGGAGGAGCTAACTGGAAGGTAATTAGCTCTTCCTAATTTGAGGTAATAAGCTCCCTTCTTCCTGGAATCCATCTCTTTTGTTTTCTAAATTATAATTTTTAAGTTACCACAGTTTACATAAAAAGAAAGAATTCACATTTCCTACATATGTTTAAATATATATACATATGTTCAAAAATTCTTCTCAAAATGAGAACTTGTCAACTAGACTTAAAAAGCACTGATAATTATAACAACAGTCTCCACTGAACTCTGGAGAGACAAAAAATAGTAAAGGAAATGTGACTTCATTAGGTTCAAGTGTTCGACTGTTTGTTTTTTAGCCAAAATCACTAATCAGCCAATCTCATGGCCTCAACTCAGTGCTTGTAGGCATATATAGTCAAGATGACCTGCTCAAACTGTTCAAACTGAGCTTCATTGACTGTCAGCTGTGCATGTGAAAATTCCTTGTTGATGTCAGAAGTTAAAGGAGAATGGCCAAAATTCTACTACTAGAATGGAAAAATTAGACTGAAAGTCCCACAGTCTCACCAAAACTGGACAGCAAAAGATTGGAGAAACATTGTCTTGTCTAATGAGAGCGACATTCAGATGGCAAGGTCAGAATTTGGCGTGAACAACATGAAAGCTGATCCATTCTGCCTTGAACTGACAGTTTAGCCTTCTGGTCGTGGTGTGAGGGAGTTTTTCTCAGCAATCTTTGGCCCTCTTAGTACCAGTTCAGCACACTGTCTATCCATCTTCTGATAGCTGCTTCCAGCAGGGTAGCATGTCATGAAGTCATGAATCATCTGAAACTGCTTCCTTGAAAACACTTTACTCAAATGGTGTCCACAGTCACCATATCTCAATTCAACAGAGAACCCTTGGGACATTTTAGAACCACAGATTTGCATTACAAGTGTGCAGCCAAGATCGCAGCAACTATGTGATTTTATCATGACAATATGGAGCAAAGTCTCTGACGTTTGCTTCCAGTACCTTAATAAATCTGTGCCATGAAGAATTAAAACAGCTCTGAAGGCAAAAAAAAGAGTCAAAGCCAGTATTAGCAATGTTTAGTGAGTGCATTTTTACTTTATTTAGATTTATTTCTGCAGTGGAAAATGAGGAAATTCCTTTAAAATATGTTTTTAAAGGAATTTACATAAATCAATGATACTAATAGCCCCAATGCTGTAGTATAACCAAGTTTGTTTTTAATTGCTCAATCTCAAGCCCTTCACCTGATCTCTGATGACCCCACAGTCTCTGTTCTGTTTCTGTAAATATAGACCTGCTCTCGGGCTCATTGGTAACCTGTAATAAACTATCAGCTTTTAAAAATCAAGATCACAGGGAGTCCAAAATCCTGTTAAAGCTCACAGCAGTTCACAGCCAGAGGATATGGGTGTATTTATGGATCTATCACACAGTGGTGTGCAAACGTAAAGGTTTCTGATCATAGGAAATGCACAATTATCTGGAAAAGAAATCCTTCTGAGGTTAGCTGCTGAAACAGTAAACAGCAGCTATTAGAAATATCATCCAGAAAGCATGTCACCTTTGCTCCATCGGATTTTATTCCCAGCAGTGTCATAAAAAAGTCTCTTGAGGCTTAACATTCATTGTTTGGTGGTCTGCCCTTGGCAATACCACAAATAAAGCTTAGCAAACAATTTTATTTGCAGTCCATATTATAATTGTGTATTTTGTTCTAAAAACAAGTCTCGCACGCTCTTCACTGTGAAGTCATCATAAAAGAAAAAAGAAAAATCAGTAAAATCAAAAACGACTTTAAAATTTATAGTGTGCTCATAAGACAATAAGGTCAGCTCCACATCCGACTGATTCCCAAGTGGTGCAAAAAGAAGCTCAGTTTTCTCAGCTTCTCAAGCAGAAGAACCAGAGGCTTTGATGGTTTCACAGAAATCCTTTTAGTGGCCACACACGGTGTCCATGGCCTGCTGGATGCTGCGGAGAGACAACAAAACAAGATTACCTTAGTATTAGATCACGAAAAAATATATGTCCACAAGAAACAGAGTGTCTTTATCACTTTTCAGTAAGAAATATGACTGATTATCAGCTATTGATTATCTGTCAAAAATCTTTTTTTTTTTTTAAGGACTGATGTGAAAAATTCACTTCATATGTTCCTAGAGACCAAGATGATTTATTCAAACAGCTTTCCCCTTGACAAAAACACAGCAAAACCCACTGATAACAGACAGGCGAGTCTTAAACAAACAAACAAAAAAAAA